TGCCGACTCCCTCGCCGATCTCTTCTACGCCATCTTTGACCCCGTCCACTAAGCTACCAACTCCTTTGACTGCACCTTTGACTCCTCCAACAAGGCCGCCGATGAGACTACTTTGGGCCTAAATTACATCAGATTATTCACAATAAATTATACTATAATAATTATTTTTCTTTATATTTACCTGAGACGCCACCAACAAGATGAAGAAGAAAGCGAACTTGGACATGGTAGATTGAACAGTAGATCTAGTCTGACTTCTGCCTTCTTGCTTCGACTATTTATAGGTGCCATCCAAAAAACATTAGCAATTTAGAACACTTTTTTTTACTAATTTTTGGCAATGAGCAACGTCTTCTTATCACTCGCACAGATAATATGTAAATAATTATTATAAACATATTTTGTTAACAACCACATTACAGATATTCACAAAATTCATGAATCATTCAAAATTGAACGAACAACATTTCATATAACTTATTTCAATTAAAAACTGATCAATTAACCCTTTGCGGACTCAGATGTTTCACGATTCCAACTCTTTTGTTTCAGATGACGTGATGAATTTGGTAAGTTGATTTTTCATTTTTCATTATATAATTTCGTATTAATTCGTAGTAAAAAGCAGTGTTTTCACATTTTATTGGTGTTCTCGAAAACTATAAAAGATAGAATGAAACGATGCATATGAAAGCTGATTATTTCGGGAATGTAATATGTATTGCAATTATTTAACATAATTGTTAATTATTGAAATCGTTTTGTTGCAAAATTGTGCAGCGTTTCAAATTATGTTTTTACACAATAAAATTGATTTGCTAATAAATTTGAAACGTGCACAATTCGGTTTTACAAATGTTCGAATCGAGGAGAATTTCTGGAATTATTTAATGAAGGGCATTCCTACTTTTTCCACACATTTTCCATTTTACTTCGACTATTTTAAACTAAAATTTTCGTCACTATCTTCGAATTTGCATTTACCAAATAAAATATTTAATTTTGTTTTGTAAACTGTACGAAATGATAAGGATTGCAGCAAGATGCATGCATAATTTTTGATATATAATTGTCATAACTATTCATAGAGAAACAAAGAGCAATATTTAATTGCTATCAAATTTTCATATAAATCCCATAGCAATCTTCTATAACAACAAGACTTTTTAGTGATAATTTACATACATTTTAACAAAAACTTCATCGAAATTGTTAGTATTTGCATTTTAAATGTTTATAGTGAATTCTACAGAAGAATTATAAAAATTTAACGAATTTTTATTTTATAACGATAAAAGTTTCCAAGTTTCACAATTGTAATTTACGATATTAATTTATACCCTAAACCAGAAAAAGACAAATTGAGAGAATTTATAAATCGATGCGTTTTGCAATGATGGTGAATAGATAACTCACTCTACCGAATAATAATGTTATCAGTCTGATAATAGTGGAAATGATATCCATAACGGACGCAATTAATGTATTCAATAATTTCACAATTATGGCGGTAATTGGGAACATCTTGCTCAGTAGATGTGACGGTGATAGTTTCTTCAAGATTTCGATAACATTTCCGTTCTTCAGCAGTTCTTTGATCTGATTCGTCAAGTTGAGATTGAAGGTGCTGGTGATGTTTGTCAATGCGTTTGACAAGTTGCCAACGATTTTATTGAGCGTATCTGCGCTTTCAGCAACGATGTCCTTGACTCCGCCCACGACGCTACCGGTAACATTCGTGACACCGCCTACAACGTCCTTGGCTCCGCCCACGACACCGCCGACAACGTCTTTGGCTCCGCCCACGACACCGCCAACGACGTCCTTGGCTCCATCCGTGACACCGCCAACGACGTCCTTAGCTCCTCCCAAGATTCCACCAATAATACCCTTCTTTCCATCCTCCGAGACGACTTCAGATTCTTTCACATTACCGTTGACACCTTCCTTGACACCATCCACGACATCACCGACTGCATTGCCCAAACCGTCGACGATGTTCGTGACTCCGCCCAACGCTCCGCCCACTACATCGTTGGCTACATTTTCTACGCCATCCTTGACCCCGTTCACTAAGCTACCAACTCCATTGACTGCACCTTTGACTCCGCCGACAAGGCCGTCGATGAGACGACTTTGGGCCTAAATTACATCAGATTATTCACAATAAATTATACTATAATCATTATTTTCTTTATATTTACCTGAGACGCCACCAACAAGATGAAGAATAAAGCGAACTTGGACATGGTAGATTGAACAGTAGATCTAGTCTGACTTCTGCCTTCTTGCTTCGACTATTTATAGGTGCCATCGAAAACATTAGAAATTTAGAACACTTTTTTTTCTAATTTTTTAATGAGCAACACCTTCTTATCGCTCGCATAGTATTGTCTAAAATAATAAGATACACATATTTTGTTAACAAGTACATTTCAAATATTCACACCTTCGCATTTACAAAATTAAAAATCTAGTCAACCGTGTATTTGGTAACATCTATACAGAAAAGACGGGGCGGATATATCCGCCGCTCGTCCGTAAATAGCTAAAAATTAATATTCCACCGCCGGATTAGCAAATTAGCAATTCCAAAATTGAATATTCAATAAGCGGGAATATGTATCTGTTAATTTGCAATGTAAAATTCAAACTTAAATTAAATCTTATCAGTGCTTGGTTTCAATTAACAATATTTCTTATATTCGTTTGGACTGCTTCGCAGTTTGGTTCATCCATTCTTTCAATCATCATTGACAAAACCTTCTACAATAAAATCATCTGGTTGCCATGACAATCAATTGTCGGTTAAAAAAATAACAAGTATATGACTAATTGATTCTTTTGTTTCAGATGACGTGATGAATTTGGTAAGTCGATTTGTACTTAATTTGTACTTAATAATTTCGTAGTAATTGGAAGTCCAGTATTGATGCAAGTGGATTTTGGTAAAAAAAAAAAAACGTATCGAATCATTTGTCATTTATTTGCGGATATTTGCGCATTTCTCTTTTCATTTTATATTCTTGATTAACCGAGCCATCCAAGAATGCCGGTTTTCTCTGTCGTAACTCCGGGATTTTCTACAGGACCTTCAGGTTTTTTGGTGGTAACTTTTGGCTTCTGCGTAGCGACTCCGGGTTTCGGATTTTTGCTTCCGAATAGTCCGTTGACGAAATTGTAACCTTGAAAGAAAGAAAGATGATGCGTTCGTAATAATGTTGTTTCTTCTGTAATCGTTTGATGGCTTTTACCTGGAACTGCGCTCAACGGATTGTTGATGGTCGTCGTCAATTTCAAGATCGCGTCGCCAAGATTTCCGCCGATCTCGTCCAAATTCGGTATGAAGACGAGCAGGAATCCGCGCAGAACTGCCGGAGCCCAGGAACTGGTCATGTTGAAGACGCGTCCGCCGATTGCATCCGCATACTTGAAGATCCACGTGTACTTGAACTCGAGCGTCGAGTTCAGGTAGTTGCCGACGAAGCGAAAGATGACGCCGAAGATCTCCGCCGAAGAGCGGAACGGATACGTGGCGAGGGCTTCGATGGTGTTGGCGAGGGCGTTCGCGAACGCCTTCACTTGAGGTGGCAGCACGATCGTTTCGTTCTGCGGGAAGAGTTCGGTGGACAATCCGCAGATCTGAATGTCGAGGCGATAAGATTTTGCGAGTTCCGGTGAGTGAGTGTCACTTGCCTGAGATATCGATGCAGCGAGGAAGAGGATCAGGCAGGCCATGGTGGAACAAAACACGAGCGAACAAAAATGACTTATTTACCAACTGCAGCGTTGTTATTTTTATTTTTGAGCAACAAAAAACGACCAATTAATATTATCTACCTTTAATTAGTACACGGTAACCTCGGTGAAATGACGCTGCATACACTTGGAAATGTAATAATATCAATTTTGTGTACTTACTGCATTTAGGGTCAAGTGCAATTTTTTTATTCTCAACTTTTAGAACTTCTGAGTATTATGTGAAACAAATTTTATTATTAACTTTTGTCTCAACTTTTATGATCTTTTTAAAATAATATTTTCGTTACAACTTTTACGAGGTTTTTTTTTAACTCATTTAAAAAAAAAATGATTTTTTTATATGGAAATTTTGAACTTTTACAATTATTTACACAAAATGTTCGTCTCAACTTTTACGATTTTTTAAAAACAAGATTTTTGTTCCAATTTTTACTAGATTCAAATCTACTGTCAATTACTATGTTATTAACTTTATTTGATGTTGTTCACTTTAATCTTAACTCCTTTAATCAAGTCGTATGTTATAAGAAATGTCACAACTTTTACAATTTTTTGTTCCAACTTTTACGAGGTTTTTATCCAAAACTGCTGTTAATTTTTGTAACTTTCTCTGTTCTTACCTTCATTCTTAACTCTTTTTTAAAAAAAGTTGATTTTTTTATATGGAAATTTTACAATTATTTACATAAAATTTTCATCTCAACTTTTACGATTTAAATTGTTAATTATTGTCATTTTCTATGTTATTAACTTTATTTGATGTTTTTAACTTTAATCTTAACTCTTTTGATCAAGTCGTATGTTTCTATAAGAAATGTCGCAACTTTTACAATTTTTTATGTAAATATCGTCTCAACTTTTACATTTTTTGTTCCAACTTTTACGAGGTTTTTATCCAAAACTGCTGTTAATTATTGTAACTTTCTCTGTTCTTTCCTTCATTCTTAACTCTTTTTAAAAAAAGTTGATTGTTTTATATGGAAATTTTACAATTATTTACATAAAATTTTCGTCTCAACTTTTACGATTTAAATTGTTAATTATTGTCATTTTCTATGTTATTAACTTTATTTTATGTTGTTAACTTTAATCTTAACTCTTTTAATCAAGTCATATGTTTCTATAAGAAATGTCACAACTTTTATAAATTTTTATGTAAACATTGTCTCAACTTTTACATTCTTTTGTTCCAATTTTTACAAGGGTTTTGTCCAAATCTGTTATCAATTATAGACGTTTACTCTGTTCTTAACATTATTCTTAACTCTAATAAACAAGTTGATTTTTTTCTATAAAAAAAATTGTCACAACTTTTATAATTTTTTATATTTTTGTTACAACTTTTACCAGGTTTTTATCCAAAACTGCTGTTAATTATTGTAACTTTCTCTGTTCTTACCTTCATTCTTAACTCTTTTTTTTTTAAAGTTGATTTTTTTATGGAAATTTTGTTACAACTTTTACAAATATTTACATAAAATTTTCGTCTCAACTCTTACGATTTTATTAAAAACAATATTTTTGTTCCAATTTTTACTAGATTCAAATCCACTGTCAATTACTATGTAATTAACTTTATCTTAATCAATCTTAACTCTTTTCATCAAGACGTATGTTTCTATAAGAAATGTCACAACTTTAACAAATTTTTATGTAAATATCGTCTCAACTTTTACATTCTTTTGTTCCAACTTTTACGAGGTTTTTGTCCAAATCTGTTCTCAATTATAGACTTTTACTTCGTTGTTAACATTATTCTTAACTCTCCTAAACAAGTTGATTTTTTTTCTATACAAAAATTGTCACAACTTTTATAATTTTTTATATTTTTGTTATAACTTTTACCAGGTTTTTATCCAAAACTGCTGTTAATTATTGTATCTTTCTCTGTTCTTACCTTCATTCTTAACTCTTTTAAAACTTTTTTTTAAAAAAGTTGATTTTTTTTTTATGGAAATTATACAAATCGTTCAACTTTTAGTTTAATTATCTGTAAATAAAAAATATCTTAAATTTATTTTTATTATATATTTTACACGTTTTTCACGTCGACTGTTTGTGCATTTAACGAACGATTTAACTGACGGTTAAAAGTTGAAACAACAACAAACACAACGGTGGTGCAATATTTGTGATTTTACACACACTACCAACTGAAAATCAGACTTCAAAGGTGAGAAAAATTCGCACATTTTTATACATCGTTTCAAAAGATACGCTGAAATTCATATATTTTTCGTGTTTATTACTTTTCGCTGTTACTTATCGTTATCTACTACATTCAGCGGCGCTAAATCAAAATGTCATCGTGACTTCCGTCAAATTTGACAGCTTCCAAGAATTGACGTTTATAATGTCATTATTTGAAAATAAGTCTTTGTTAGGTTATTAAACTGTCAAAAATGACGTTTATAATGTCATTATTTAACGATTAGATGTGTTACGTCTCAAGTAAATAAGCTGGGAATTTGACAGCGATGCAAATTTTTGCGGTTGCACAAAAAAAAAAACGAAACATAAATAAAGAAAAGTCATTGTTTGGCTATTTTGAAATAGTTTTATTCTAGATGTTATTTTGTGTAACGTTGAGTAATAATTGAATTTAATTAAAAAAAAAAGTATGCGAAATTATCATCAATATTTGTAATCATAAATAAACATTTATCGGAGGTTTGACTGGCGGCTTTAAGATAATTGCGCAACGATTATATTTTGTTAAAAAAAAATATTGCACCGTTGTCATGGTGACTAAGCAATATAATCTCAGTTCTTAATTGTGATTTATATATGTATGCAAATTAAGTAATTATAATATCTATACTTACTTTAAGCTGTATTATCTATTTTAAGTAATGGTTTTGGTACTTAAATATTTATCTTATAAGAAATGATTAAATATCTCGTTACTTTTTAATTGGTGATTTAAGTATTGTTAAGTAGTATAATTTGTTTTTTGTGACCTTCGGATTGCAAAATTGGGTTGTTTGGTGGCATATTTTGCAGTTGCGTGCACAAAAATAATAGTGATTTGAAAACAAATCCTCTACATTTTTTGACACGTCCTAACGCGTAATTTGAAATACGCGATAGACTACGTTGATGACATTGCGTGTTACAATGTCGGTGAATAATTTACTCACTTTATCGTACACTGATTTTATCAGTCTGGCAATAGTGGAAATGATTTCCACAACGGACGAAATCAATGCATTCAATAATTTCACAATTATTGCGGTAATTGGGAACATCTTGCTCAGTAGATGTGACGATGACAGTTTCTTCAAGATTTCGATAACATTTCTGTTCTTCAGCAGTTCCTTGATCTGATTCGTCAAGTTGAGATTGAAGGTGCTGGTGATGTTTGTCAATGCGTTTGACAAGTTGACAACGATTTTATTGAGCGTATCTGCGCTTTCAGCAACGATGTCCTTGACTCCGCCCACGACGCTACCGGTAACATTCGTGACACCGCCTACAACGTCCTTGGCTTCGCCCACGACACCGCCGACAACGTCTTTGGCTCCGCCCACGACACCGCCGACAACGTCCTTGGCTCCGCCCACGACACCGCCGACGACGTTCTTGGTCCCATCCAAAACTCCTCCAATCAAGCCCTTCGATCCGTCTTTATCTCCGCCTGTGATACCGCCAACGACGTCCACATTTCTTATAACATACGACTTGATTAAAGGAGTTAAGATTAAAGTGAACAACATCAAATAAAGTTAATAACATAGTAATTGACAGTAGATTTGAATCTAGTAAAAATTGGAACAAAAATCTTGTTTTTAAAAAATCTTGCATCAATACTGGACTTCCAATTACTACGAAATTATTAAGTACAAATTAAGTACAAATCGACTTACCAAATTCATCACGTCATCTGAAACAAAAGAATCAATTAGTCATATACTTGTTATTTTTTTAACCGACAATTGATTGTCATGGCAACCAGATGATTTTATTGTAGAAGGTTTTGTCAATGATGATTAAAAGAATGGATGAACCAAACTGCGAAGCAGTCCAAACGAATATAAGAAATATTGTTAATTGAAACGAAACACTGATAAGATTTAATTTAAGCTTGAATTTTACATTGCAAATTAACAGATACATATTCCCGCTTATTGAATATACAGTTATGGAATTGCTAATTTGCTAATCCGGCGATGGAATATTAAATTTTAGCTATTTACGGACGAGCGGCGGATATATCAGCCCCGTCTTTTCTGTATAGATGTCACCAAATACACGGTTGACTAGATTTTTAATTTTGTAAATCCGAAGGTGTGAATATTTGAAATGTACTTGTTAACAAAATATGTGTATCTAATTATTTAGACAATATCTATGCGAGCGATAAGAAGGTGTTGCTCATTAAAAAATTAGAAAAAAAAGTGTTCTAAATTGCTAATGTTTTCGATGGCACCTATAAATAGTCGAAGCAAGAAGGCAGAAGTCAGACTAGATCTACGGTTCAATCTACCATGTCCAAGTTCGCTTTATTCTTCATCTTGTTGGTGGCGTCTCAGGTAAATATAAAGAAAATAATGATTATAGTATAATTTATTGTGAATAATCTGATGTAATTTAGGCCCAAAGTCGTCTCATCGACGGCCTTGTCGGCGGAGTCAAAGGTGCAGTCAATGGAGTTGGTAGCTTAGTGGACGGGGTCAAGGATGGCGTAGAAGAGATCGGCGAGGGAGTCGGCAAGGGTTTGGCAGGCGTGACAAATGTAGCCAACGATGTAGTGGGCGGAGCGTTGGGCGGAGTCACGAACATCGTCGACGGTTTGGGCAATGCAGTCGGTGATGTCGTGGACGGTGTCAAGGAAGGTGTCAACGGTAATGTGAAAGAATCTGAAGTCGTCTCCGAGGATGGAAAGAAGGGTATTATTGGTGGAATCTTGGGAGGAGCTAA